CAAACTGTGTACGCCTATCTCTGGTCGCATGCGGTATCTTAAGTGGATTTCTTGTGTATTTTGGGCATAATGCCGAATTACCGTGATGGTTTGTTTATCCGTCTACCCAGCTCCCTGACTGCCAGGCCGCATGAATATTGGCCGTAGTTTTTGAGTTAGTTCGCAGGAAGGTAGGCATATCTACTTCCTTCCTTAGTATTTGATAAGTGTTCCGGTCGCCTAGCATACTTTCCATTTTCTCCGTCTAGTGCTTCCAGTCCATTACAATCGTCGCTCCTCCCTTATCCGCCAGAAGAACTATTTGATCATTCTCTTGTAATTTTTTCCGTATACCAGTCAATCCGCTCCTGTGAGTCGGTTCTTAATTTGCCAGGATCCGAGGGATTATTTCCATTTCCATCTCCCGTTTTGTCTCTTCCGGATATTTATCCGATATGCTGACAACTTCCACAATAATATCACTAAGAACGTTTCCTTCGTCACCTATGTAAAAAGTTAACCTCTTCTTTAGGAAGTGCACGGTTTCAAAATCACGAGAGACTGAGGATAAGTTTACCACCTTAGCTCTATCATCGTTCGTAGCATTTGAAGCCTTCAAGAGAGAAGCATCAAAATTTGCCCGGGTTGGCTTGGTCTTACGCTGTCCTATAGCTAAGCTATTTCTTGTTATGCTGCTTATTTATCGAATCCTGGACCCTCTGCGACTTCTGGTTCGTCATACTCTGGAATCTTTGAAGTTAGAACCCTGTGTATGTGCTTCCTAAATCTATACTTAATATCTATAAACTGAACTAGCTTACGCCTCTCAGCCTCGTAACTGTCCTCTAATTTCTGAATGGAGGCGTGATTAAGTATTTCATTGACTGTGTCCTAATGTCACTTCCTCATTAGATTGTAGAATCGGGAGTGATACCATAATGTTTGCAGCAATTCAAAACGGTCAACTGGAAGGATTGACTTATAATTGTCTTTATTGTCAGTCGGAAAAATAACCAAAAGAGAAAAAATTGTGATAGTGAAGAGGCGATACGAGTATATAGGATTGATAATTAGCCCCAGGCGGAAGGACAACTGTTTGGTCAAAGGATCGGCTTCATTTGTTTCATTGACGAGTTGTAGTATGGTGCTAAGAATGGCAAGACTTACTGACGATGCTGGCGAAACGTCTAGGAATGTACCACGTCCACGGTCCAACTTTGGAAATTATTATGCATACGATGGACTCCGTACTAGATGCGTTTCTCTAAGTCTTCCTACAAATATGACCAAGTTGCGAAAACAAGGTCAAACAACTTCTATAAATATGTTAAGTAAGCTTTTATCTTTAATAAGATGGGCGAGACAAAATTTGGAATCAATCAAGAAGTAAAACTTAAAAACTTTAGCAAATAGCAAGTTAATTATTAGCTTATTACCTGGCGAACTTTGTTACGAATAGCAGCAACAGTGGCGTTGTCTGGCTGACCACCCTTCACCTCCTCGGTTGTGATCGAGGTTCCTAAAAGATGTGCACGTATACCCTTAGAATTTGGAGAAGTGCTTGCTGTTTTATTGATCGAGGAACTATTTACAGTTAATTTTGTGACTGTTAGAGAAGTCATCTAGATGAAAGTAAGAAGCATGGATTATTTTCAAGCAAAGCGAAGCTCAGAAATGCTGTGGCTATCAGACCAAAGATCTGCTGCACGTTATGAAAAAAAAGACACAGAAAAGCATCACAATTGTTGACATTATAAAATATATATTCCTATATTTGTTATTAGTAAAGCAAGGGTGAAAATGTATTAAGCAGTAAAAAGAAGCTCGAAAAAAATGAAAATCGATTTAAGGTAAAATTAGCCCTTCTGCATTTCAACAGTATGGCTCTTGCAAAGATACCTAATCAGAATATTTTTTAAAATTCGAAACCCAAAGAAATTGCAGGAAATTCAGGCGAAACAGGTATATATTCCAGGTTAAAGCAGAAAATTTCTATGGATTCTTGTTAAATTTCATGAAAAAGCAGATAGTAAAAAGACACCAAATTATATAAGTGAGTGGTATTTCGGCACTACCCAATATAAAATGAAGGTCTGGCTTTGAATCAGAAGTGCGCTATAGATATATGCAGAATAGCTGGGTTGCCACGGTCTGTATTTTATATGGC